CACTTTTTTCATCTACGGTAAAAATAATAATAATAATATAATAATAATAATAATAATGATTGAGCAAAGCCCGTGACTTTATAAGCATGGGCCCGAATCTTAAGCTTCAATTACCCATCCAAACGTAATTTTCAAGTTGGGCCTCTGGCCCAAAGCACAGCAAATGCAAGAAACAAACTCCGACAGTCGGGTCATCCTATTTAGCTAAAAGTATCCCTCAACGTCAACAAGGGAGTTACAACTTTTGACAGAAGTTAAAGAAGAAAACTTCTCAAAGTCTTGAGTCAGTCGCAAGTCATCACAACATTAATTGCGAAAAGAGAGAGAAAGAAAAAAAAAAAAAACTAAGTCATATTATACTTCCTTTTTTCTTCACAATTATACAGATGGAACGAGAAGGAAGAACATTACCACGGCGCATCAACCTCCTCCTGGAACTTCGCCTGATAGCTCTCAGCTTTCGCTTGCAAATTCTCCACATCACGAGCACACTTACCGTACAATTCCTTCAGCTCCACGAGCTTTGTCTCGAGTTTCCAAATCTCATCCTCAAGTTCACTTTTCTCCTTCTGGGCCTCAAAGTACGTCCTCACATCCATCCCTCCTTCCGAATCGTGCGCCAAACTGAGAAGCCGGCGCAAACGGGACCGCAAAAACCCAACATTCAGCCCGAGAAGCTCAAATGATCTCAGAGACTTCTCCCCCACCTCAAAATCCTTTTTAGGGGTGGTCAGCTTACAGCCCCTTATAAAGTCAGCAATGCTTATGGTTTCAACAATCATGCCAGCAGCTAGCTTGCTGTAGAGGCCCGGGAGAACACGATCGTGAAGGTAAGCATTCTTCCTGCAGCATAAGTCGTAGTACGCCCGGCGTATGTCTTCAGGCAGTTCCGGGTCGAGACACACCCCATTGACTATGATGCGGAAGTCCTCAAAGCTTTTGACGTCATTGAATTGGATGGAAGATCCGTTAGACTTGGTGCCCTCGAGGACCTCGGAGGCAACCTCCTCGCTGTTGTTTCCAGAATGTTCTTCGGCAAATCCGCTGACATGGGGTCTTAGTGAGGGGAATTCGGTGTCTTTCTTCTTCTGCACGACTGTTAGAGGGAGAGATTTCGGGCGCTTTTTCTTGGTTTGCACATCCATATTTTCCTCTGTGATTGAAGTAATTCAAGATAATCCAGCGTCAACACAATACATTTATAAAAAAATGAATGATCCCACGTAAAAAGAAAATATCTTTTAACCCTTTTTGTGTGTGTGAGAGGGATGGGGTGTTTGTGTTTGTATGTGTGCTTTTGCGTGTGCGAGTGTGTGTACATAACTATATACAGAGAGAGAGAGAAAGAGAGAGAGAGAGAGAGCTGACCAGCATCCTGTTTTATTTTGGAATCCAATATCAGAAGACTAAGAGCACCATCGACCTCAGTCAAATCGTTTGCCCTTATAACATATACCTACATAAAGAGCTCTATATCAGTAAAGGCTATGAAAGGTGTCAACACTGAGTTAAATAGTAGGAATTTTCTGAAAAATAGTACAAGGTGGCAACAAGATGTAAAATAAATTTTCAACGTAATGAAGGAAAAAAATGTGACGCTTCCGTATTTCAAGTTCCGCCAAGTAGTACTTGCAGAAGATGAGATTATGCACACTGTTTTACTATCATAAAGTACAAAAATTACAACCTCTGGACAAATATATACTTTAAGAAGTTCCTCTTCATTTGTGCCCATTCTTACTACATGGATTTCGGCCATGCACCATACTTCCTCCTAAATTAAATAATTTACTGATAAAAGAGTAAACAGGTGGACATGGTAAGGTTGAGAAGTTTCTAGATAAATTTATAGATTGAGATCAATAGATGCTCTGGTATTGGCTAAGAAGATGATAGGCAGCTTTATGTTATGTAATGTGGCCTTCAAAAGGACAGGAGGAAATAAAATTCAAAATATTTTTTAGGAAATAAAATTTTCAATTTGTCCATAAAAATTATAAGTCTTTGTGAATGAATGATAAAGATTGGCATGGTCAGTTCTAAGTAAACCATATTGCTTGCATCACCTTTATTCTGCAAGGCTCGATTAGTTGGAAGATCAGAACATCTCCTTCAATCAACTTGTTTCCAGCAACAAATTTTCTCCACCCAGCACTTAGACCCGTCTTATGCGCAATGTATTTGATCGGGAACTCTTCCCCATTTTCATTTTCAAGAACAATCTGAGTGTCCTTGCTAGGTAAATGTATCTTGCAGAAGGGAACAGGAAGACCCTGCACACAAATGGTACTTATATGTAGTGTGAAAATGCATCCAACAAATTTGCTGAGCTGATATTAATAATCCCTCTACACGTACCATCCAGAAACAACTGCCAACATGTGATCTGACTAAAACTTTTAAAAACGAAGGGTGGTCGTTGCTCAAACTCATCTGAACCTCCTCTGCTCGAATCAAAGTAGGTGACTTCACTTGCGCAGGATTGCTTGACCCACCAACTGAGGCATCTCCTTTACTGCCCAACACAAACAAGTAATTGTCATGCCAATGATCACAAAAGTTCTTAAAAAAATCATGTGAACAATTGAGCTAACCTTATCAGTGTGCCTCCACTATCAGGCGAACCCTGCTCAAGCAATTTATAAACCGGCTGTTACGTGAGAATATAAGCAGACACGTTAAGTAATTTGATAACATGAAAAGTAAATTAGCACTTGGTTCCTTTGCTTCATGAACCAAGAACCTAGTGCTTCAAGTAATTTGTTAGAGAAGGAAGATCAAATTGCTTTCCACCTCACTATCTTTGCCCATCCAGATAGCGCTTGGATTATTTTGTTCATAAGTGAATTGTGCGGGAAAACCACATTTAATTTATCAATTAACTTGAGAAAAAACAGAAACATTGGCATGACGATGCGAAAACCATAATTAAAAATGATGAGATGCAAAAAATAAATAACAGGAGATAAACTGAAAACAGAAAAGCTATAGTTAAGCTATGATCATACTGGGGATATTGTATCTGATTAGATAAAGGGTTGGTTTCTCTAAAGTGAAAATGTGGGGTCATGCAACAGGAAAATGAAATGTCTAGTTATCACTCATTTTTTCCCCATTCCAAACAAGCCACTGATGCTCTTTGGTCTTTTATTTTTTTTTTTTTGTCGAGACGATAGGACTCTACCCAATTTCTCAGAAATAATTTATTTGAAGCGTTAGTGATTCTGCATAGATCAATTGAAAATTTTCTTGTGATCATTAACCATGGTGGCAATGGTGGTGTTAGCAAAGTGCAAATCAAAACCCAAAAAATACAGCCCATTGCAACTGAGAAAGCTCCAACTCAAGTCTCTACTCTCTAGTAGAATTAGTCAAAAGTGTCACCGTTTCATCAATACGACACCCAGTGTTATCAAATTGTGGCCATGGCAGATTTCTACCTATAGCCATTACAAACTTGTGAAAGATGGCATTATGACGGAATTTCAGCTTGAACATTTTCCGCCATCTGCCATTTATAACACAGATGATGCCACTAAGTTTCTGCCAGAAACACAAAGAGTCAGCTTCCTGCATGAACCACGAGTCACTGAGGGGAAAGGCGAACTGTGTGGACCAATGGAATCTTTTTGTTTCTTTTTTCGCCTCCTTGCCTTAGGTCAGACCTTAACATGCATGCACCTAGATGAAACAAACACTGATCCACAACCTCCATTATCAAGTCAACCCTGGTCAATCGAAAAGCACATTCAAGGGGACAAGAAGGAAGAAACCCCGCCAATCAGTGCACCAGTTGTACTCAGGCACAACTACAGCCCATATCCAATCAACTGAGTTACTGATCAGTACTTAGCAAGCTTAAAACCCTAATTAACCAGTGCACCAAATTATTATCTAAGCACAGCTAAGAGTTAAACCCCTGTTTCAACCCCCAACCTGCCTGTTACGTACACGTAAACAATTCTATAACATCTCACACAATAAAACAGGAGACACACACAACTCACTTCCTTAGGTTTCAAAGAGGAGGATTTCTTCTTCTTCCTCCTGTAGATGGTAGAAACCTCGTCAATCATTTCCTTCGGTTTCCTCTTCCTCTTGCCCTAAAACAAGGAACAAAACCAGATCTGATATCAATTACGTATTTCTATCAGCGGAAACCATCAAAATCACGTTTTCCAGGCCCGGAGAAACTCACAGAGACAAGCATCGGGTTATTATCGGGAACCGGCGGAGCCTCCAGCGCCAGAAAGCCCTCACCCGCCGGCGGGACGCGAATCGGAGATTCCTCCACTTGCTCGACCTCCTCGGCTTCGGTTTTCACCGTTTGCTCCTCGCCGCCGGCGCCGGCGCGATTTTCCTGATTTTGGTGGACTATTATCAGTTTCATTTTTCTTCGGGTGCGCAATGAATTAGCCCCGGGTTTTACAGTAAAACAAGCTTTCCAGGCTTTTCCTTTTTTTCGATTGTTTGATTTTTCTGGTTTATCAAAAGGAAGATGTCAAAAAAGCCAAACGCTGGATTACACCAAAATTGAGCCTGAAAATGAAATTTCTGAACTTCTCACATACAAGCCCGACAGGCGCGGGTACTGGACGTGGTAAATAAAAGTTGGGAGCGAGTATACTAACCGGAACAAATAAAAATGGTAGACGTTACATGAATTAGATTAATTAAAAATAATATTAATTTTTAATAAAATATAAATTATTTGGATATAAATATCAATAAATATATAAAAAAATATAATAAAAATACTCTCCTCCTCATGATTAGTTTTATATATTGATTGTTAATGTAATTTTTATGTATTACTTATTTATTTGACTTAATCTGATGTTTATTTTATCTTATGATATATTTTATTATGACAAAAATATACACTAATAAATAATAAATATTATTAGAATTTTTTATAAAAGTTATCGATAAATTTTTGTATAATGTGTATTAGTAATACTATGTTATTTAATTTAAAACTAGGTACATTCATTAATTTATAGTAGTTATAGGGGTTAGGATTCAAAATATCAATATTAGCTAAGTATATACTATCATTATATTCTAGGCATATGATTGTAAGTATTATAGACATGATTTTAGAATTTATATAAGATTAACAAATAATTATATAATACTAAATGTACATATATATATATATATTACAATTTATTTGAGATAAAAATAAATAAAAAAAATATATTTAATGTAGAATAAAACGTAGCATGAATGATTGCATATAAAACTTGATATTTAGCTTACTCTACTCTAGAGTAGAGTTTACGCTTGGAGATTGTCTTAGACATTTATTCATAGTTTTCAACATACATAAATATGAGAACAAAAATATGGCATTTCATAGTATAACTAAGCATTTTCGTGGAAAAAAATAAGTAAACTGATGACCCGCCTAAAGTTAAACAGCTCCATATAAGAATTTGTGTACAAATATAGATCATGATGAGTATGTGAGCTAATTTATGATGATTTAAATATGTATTAGAGTTTATTGAATTTGAAAATCCTAAAGTATTTTAAAAGTTTATGATTTTTTATATATTTGTCATCTTCCATCTATAATATATTATTAAATTGTTTTTTTAATATGACTTTTATATTGAATACTAGTACAACACCCGTGTATTACACGGGTGCTTGTTAAAAAATTATTCTTAAATTTTAAAATTAATGAGAAAACTACATTAAATTTAGTTTACTTTCTTACAAAAAAAAAAAATATATTACTATATATTTTAGAATGATATGTGTTACTTATGACTTATACGTGTTATATTATATTAGTTTTTATAACTTATATCATATAACTACTTAGAAATATAAATATATTAGTTGATAAATAATTTTATTTTTCTAATTAATACTAAAAATAATTTTATTATTGTTATAAAGATAAATATAAATTATTTTTTTATACATACAATATGAATGTAAAATCGAAGCTCATCAAAAGGAGATTAATTTGATATATTACATATGTAAAACTGATAAAAAATACAAAAGTTATTAACTTTTAAAATATATATACAATTTAATAGTTATAATAAGGAATGATATTAGAATGCAATTAATACATGTAACATGACCATAAATTAATCCGAACCTAATTATTTTTGGTTTAGAATTAAATTAAAATTTACCAAGCCTAATAACAAAGCATGTAATTTTGCCACATAGGATTCCGAAGCATCAGATGCAGCCACGTAGGTTCAGCGCGTTCTTAATTAATATAAAAGGGGATATAAAATAAAAATGATAAATTTTTAGAACTCCAGTGTTTTTTGATTTCAGACTAGGTGCCAAAGGAGGGTGCTTGTATTTATATATATATATATATATATATAAAAAAAAAAACATTTTATGCACTTAAAATTAATATAAAAAAAAGATAAGAATTATGGGTTAAACATTTGTAATTGTTGACAATTATAATTTGCTGAAAAAGTTATAAGACTATGATATGACAATTTTATAAGTATATGTAAGTAATTTGTATGCAAATATCACATGATTTTATACATTTATAACATTTTATAAACTTATAAATAATAAAAATTAAATTTCTGAATAAAAGGGTTGTGTACTAATTTTAAATGGACATGTTTTATGTAATTTCTCTCAATTTAGATTTTATATAATATTTTTAATAAATTAACATAAACAAATTGTATTTAAAATTTATTATGTATTTTGAATTTATAAATATTATTCAGTGAAATTTTTTATTGTATAAATATAAGTGAATATCTGTTACTCTCGCATGGGATTTCTACTAATAAAATAAAAGAAAAAAATAAAATTTATATTAAAATTGTTTTTATACTAACCAATATTGCTTCATTACTTTTAATACATATAATCTATAATGATTGCATTGAGTAATAAGGATGAGACACCCTAAGTCCCTAATAAATCCCTTTTACAGTGGGTAATTTATTTAAAAAAAAAAATATAGAAATTAAGTGGCGGTGTTTCGTGATGAGAGCCTTTTATATCTTCAGTACAAACATCGGGCAGAGGCGGTGTTTCGTGATGTGCCTGGAGCTCGTGAGAAGACGCTCGGAAACCGGCGTTTCGACACTCAGTTCTGGAAGGCAGTGCCAAACCAG